GTTGGCTGCACCGCTTGACCCTCTTGTCCTTGGAGTTAGAACTGTGCTCTAGGGTGATTCTGGGTAAGCTGGAGATTGAGTTTCCCATGCTGGAGTGGAGCAGTGGGCCTGGTGGTTGGAAGGCAGAAAGGATGGTGGGTGATGTCAAGGTTTTAGGGAAAGCAAGAGAGTATTGTTGTTCTGTGTATTCATTCTCTGTGAGCACTGGTGGTAAGGGTCTGAGGCAAGGCATAGAGTGGGCAGGGAAAGAATTTCTCTCTAGAAATTCATTTTTTAAGTTTATTTACTTTGAGAGAGAGAGAGAGAGATGTGGGAGGGGCAGAGCGAGAGGGAGAGAGAGAATCCCAGGCAGCTCTGCACTGTCAGCTCAGAACCCAACATGGGGCTTGAACTCATGAACCGTGAGATCATGACCTGAGCCGAAACCAAGAGTCAACACTTAACCAACTGAGCCACCCAGGTGCCTCCTCCCTAGAAATTCTATTCTGGCTTTGTTCCACATCAATTGGAAGCCACCATTTCCCCAACAACCCTAGCAATGACAGAGCTTTGAGACATTTATATTTGATAAACCCAGGTGTCACATGCTATCTAGCAGAGTAAACGAGTGACATCACCTGCATTTTGCTGCTCCCTGATGACTGGGAATTATTCACAGAACATCAGCCCACTGGTGGAGGCCTCTCTAAAGTCCCTGAAGACTTCCCTCAAACATCCCTTCCCACAGATAGTCATGTCTGCATGATGGTAAGAGTCCTGATTATTAGCAGGTTTTTATTTTAGAAGGGAAACCAGACCACAATATGTTCTCTTCACCACTCCCCATCATTTTGGAGAGTTCCCGCCCCTCCCCGCCCCCCAGTGCTGGTGCAGAGTGAACAGAAAGTGCACGGTGACCAATCATTCTTCTTAAGGAACCAAGGTACAGGAAACTAGGATTTGACCATCTTTAGAAATTCCAGTTCTGGGGGCGCCTGGGTGGCTTAGTCGGTTAAGCGTCCGACTTTCGCTTAGGTCATGATCTCGCGGTTCGTGGGTTCGAGCCCCGCGTCGGGCTCTGTGCTGACTGCCAGCTCAGAGCCTGGAGCCTGTTTCNGGAAGCTAGCTCCCTCTAACTTTTTTATTTCTATCCCTCTATTTTTCCTACTCTTCAGAAATTGTAAAAATAGGGGCGCCTGGGTGGCTTAGTCGGTTAAGTGCCCGACTTTCGCTTAGGTCATGATCTCGCGGTTCGTGGGTTTAAGCCCCGCGTCGGGCTCTATGCTGACTGCCAGCTCAGAGCCTGGAGCCTGTTTCAGAGTCTGTGACTCCCTCTCTCTCTGACCCTCCCCTGCTCACGCTGTCTCTCTCTCTCTCTCCTAGAAATAAATAAAACATTAAAAAAAAAAAAGAAATTCCAGTTCTGTGGCCACATCTGACCTTGTCATCCCTCAGAATCATTCTTCTGTGAGAAACCTTGCCTCTCCCATCCCACTCCGAATGAAAGCTAACCTGATTCTTCTCATCTCTCCTGCTCCCACATATTTTCCCCGGCCTATCCCCTCCTCCTTGGATTTCCTTCTATGAGCATCCAACACAGGATCCATGACCCATACTTCAACCCCTCTATGGTCAGTACCCACGCTGTTTTGTTTTTCTCCAGTTCTTGACGCTGTATGTTGGAGACTCTGGATTCTCCACAGCTGGGCCCAGTTGCCTATTCCTCTGTGGTTCTGTGGGCACCTCAAGTGCATAGGCCCGCGGGGCTGCCCAGAACTCTTCCTCTCAATCTGGAAGCTCCTCTCTCATTCCCTCTCAGAGGCTTTTCCAGTTCTTCACTGTTTCCTTCAAACCCCTGTTATCACCTCCCACCTACTCTCAAGAGATGACTTTGCTTCTCACTTTAGAGCTAAAAAAATAGAAGCCAGCAGGCAGGAATTTCCTCAACTTCCTGCTTTCCACCTATGAATGAATCTGCACCCACACCCATTCTTATCAATGTCGAGCTCACTGCAGTGGAAGACCAGACCCTCTTCCTGCCCCACGGCTGCTCCCTTTCCCTGTGGGCCCCCTGGGACCCTGTCCTGTGGGCCCCTCTCCTGCCTGACCTTTTCATTCTCTTTTCTTAGCTCTTCTCCTCGACCCAGCTCTGGGGGGCCTCTGCATTTCCAGCCCAACCAATACTACTTTTGTTGGTGACCCAATAACCTTCTAATTTCCAAATCCCAAAGTTTACTGTTCACACCTCTTCCAACTTAAGCCTCCTGAGGCATGTGTTGCTATTGACCCCTTCCTCCATCTCCAATATCTTCTCCCTTGGCTTTGGTGACAACGCTCTTTCTTGGGTTTTTATCTCCTTTCTGGTTTCTTAATAGCCCTCATCTGGCCACCCCTAAAACATTACTGGGGGTTCCCAGGGGGTTATTAGTGCCTATTCTGTGACCCATAGCTCCTGGACTTACATTTGCAGAAGCCTATAAGGGTCTATCAACTTGATAGATCTTTCTCTACTAGATCTAGTGCCCAAATTCTACTTTTTTTTTTTTTATACTTTTTAATAGTTACTTTCGTCTTTATCCCCAGTGCTTAAGCACCTGGTACTTCCTGAGCTCTCAGTGATTGCTCATTAATGGTACAATCTGTGAACGATGGATCCCTACCCTATTTTAGGTGTACAGGTGGATCAACTTTTTTTGTTTGTATATTTTGTAACCATTTCTCCCTTCAAAAATGCAATGCAGTGTCAAAAAATTGAATTAAAAAGCTTAGATAATTTTTGTTTGCTTGCTTAGGGTTTGGGGAGAAAATAGGGATTATCTTGAAATGCCATAATTGGTAATAATTCAAGTCACCAGAACCTGCGTAGGCTTAAGGTGAAGACAGGGTTGATGGTTGGAAGAAAGGGGGGCTGATGCCAGAGCAATAATAATAACTTGGACTTGAACTTCTGTGACTTCCACCTCTACTATAGGTAGAAAAATTTATTTTCTGCATGTAGAGCAGCTATTTGGGGGATAAAGTAAGGAATCTTGTGTGATATCTGAATTTAGCATCACAATCCCTGACCTATGTCATAGGTTGCCAAAATGAGTCACAGATGCCGAACTCTAAAATTACCCTTTTCATTTATAAGTTCAAAGTACAAGTATATATATATATGTATATATATATATATATATATATATATATATTTTCCCCATAAAATGGAGAAAACAGCAATCCTATCTACCACACAGGATTACTGTGAGGTTTCAATGAATTAATATGTGGAAAGTCCTTGGCTTAGTAAGGTGTGTAGTAGGCTCTTCCTAGGTAAGAAGTGTTAATATTATTATGTTATTACATATTCACTTATTTTTCAAAGCATCGAAGTTACTCACTTTTCAAAAAGAAGGGATTCTTCTGAGTGTTCATGCTGGATCTTACTGGGTTCTAGTTTGAGGTCAGGTTGATAACGTATTAATTAATCGAATATTTATGTAGGGCTTGGAACGAACATAGAGGAGGGGCGGGGACTCTGAGATGCACCTTGTCAGCTTTCATCAGTGCAGCTGCTGGGCCCACCCTCCCAACCCCCCACTGAGCTGGATGTTTTAAGATATGGCCAAGAAGAGTTTGGGAGCTGTTTCTCCACTGATAAACCCTTGTTGAACATTTCCAGATATGCATGAATGGAGCCCTCTCCTGTTGAGACAAAAGTTCCTTTTCCTTTGGAAATGCCAAGAGGAGACATGGTAATACCAGCCAGTGATATCAGCAACCCAGAGACTTAACCCTGACAAGGCTGATCCGTGTGTGTGTGGAGATGTCTCTGGCAAACACAGAACCCAGCAGATATTACAGTAAAATATGAGGTGTTCTGGGGAAGCCATTTACTCCTCACAGGAAAGGTCTAAGTGGAAGAGGCTAACCTTGACATTAAAGGCAGTGACTTTTCAGTCAGAGACATACCTGAGACGCTGGGGGTGAGGAGAGGAGGGGGCCTGAGAGAGTGAGTAGGGCTCTGGCATTGGAAGGAACATCCAGAGGGGCAAGGCACCCTCCTTGGCTTATGATGACTGGGTCTTGTGACAGAATGAGGAAGGGTGTGTTTGCCATTAAGATATTTCAGCATTATCTTACTACTCAGAGAACGAGACTGGATTGTTGCTTCACCCCAGCCCAGTTCCCTTCAAATTCACTTCTTAGGACCCACTCTGGGAGCTGCTCTGAGATTCTTAGGAGGCGGCCTCCAGCCCAGCTAGAAAGTCTCCCAGCCATATTACTGATTTGGAAGATAAAAGAGAGTTTGGCTTTATTTTTGGCAGTTGAATTTGGATTCCATTACTATGATGGACTCAAAACACGCACCTGAATGTATGTGGATCTTGTACCACCTACGTTAGACTCACGTCGGGGGAGGGATGTTGAAAATGCGTATTTTCCCTAGTCCCATTCCAGAAGTAGGGAATTAAAGTCTCTGGTGGGACCTAGGCTCTTAATGTTAAAATCCTCCAGGGTGAAGCTGAGGATGTGCCTTTTTAAGCGAATTTCTGGGATTGGACGGGATAGACGACGGCCTTCTAAAACCCAAATTTGAATGAATATGCCCAGCGGGAGAATCCTGGTTCTCGCAGCCTCAGTTTCTCCCTGCGGCCAGGGCACGTTCTGTCTCCACTTGTTTGCTAGGCTGCAGGATGAGGAAATTAATAAGTGCAAAGAACTGGAGAAAGCGCCGCAGCTGGGCTGGGAGAGAAGAGGCGCTCTTACCCCTCCCACCCGGACTCCTGCAGGTATCCATGTCACCGCCCCTCTGGCTCTGTGGGCGGTGGTCCCTTTAACAGACCTGACCAATCGCGTACCCATTTCCGCGGTCGCTCCTCGGCGCTCTGGTAGGAGCTGGATTGGCCATGCCTGGCGCGCGGCCTGCTCCGCCCCCGAGGCCCTCTGGTTGGTGGCGGCGGCCGCGGGCGCGGGGCGGGTCCGCCGGCGGGGCGGGGCGGCCGGTGCCCGGGGGCGGGCGGGCGGCAGGACAGCGGCCGGAGCCCGAGCCCGAGCCGGAGCCGCGGCGGCCGCGGAGCACCGGCGCCGGCGCAGTATGATGAAGCAGCCAGCGGAGCCGGGGTAAGTGCGACCCGGGCCGGGCGGGAGGCGGTGGAGGGAGCGCCCGCGGAGAAGGCCCGGGCGGGGGGCGGCCCGACCCCGCAGGGTCCCGAGCGTGCCGGGGGCCGGCGGCCGTTGGTGCGGTGGGGCAAGGGGGTCGGCCCCCTCCCAGGGTCCCGCCCCGCTGTCACGACGCGGTGGTAACGGGAGACGCCCACCTGCGACGCCCCCGGGCGAACCCCTCTTTCGTTTGGGGTCGGGTGTGGCGGTTTGGGCTTGACCCCGAACGGAGGCACCGGCCGGCCGGTCCCCTCCAGCCTGCCGTCCGCGGGCTCCGGGCTCGGCCCGGGCCAGGGAGGGCCGTCCACTCGCAAACTAATGGGAAACGGCTTGTAATTTTATGAATGGGGCCCCCGGCTCCTGCCGCCCCCCTCGCCCACGTCACGAAATGCTTGGAAGTCGAGAACCGCAGTTACTTTTACGCGGATCTGTCAGGGGCTGGCTGCGCCCGGGTTGTTTTTCTCCAACTCCTGGAAATCGCGCGTGGCCGTGGGGTGGTTTGCGTGCCTCAGACGGGAGGCGGCGGCGTGCCGAGAGCCGGGGGATCGGAAGGTTAACAAGTGACATTGGGCTGAGGCCTAACGCCAGGTGCCCTGCCCGGGAGCGCGGGTGTGACGGTGGAGGCTGTGGCTGCCGGCCGCTGGCTAGCACCCCGACGAGACCGAGGGACTGGGAGAAGGAATGCACAGCTACTCCAGTTGCACCACGCACGCTGCTGCCCAGATCGCACGGCCGACGCGGGAGTTGGTGCAGGGGAGTTTTCCCCTTTTGAAAACGGGTTTTTGGAGAACTTAGCCCCTCAGTGGGTTGATTGGTTACTTAAACCATCGGTTGTCATGGTTACGGGGCATCAAATGTAAGGGCAAAGTCTGTTTCCACCCTCGCTCGCTCTCTGAAGCTATGAAGTACTTTCTCACCACGTTTTCACAGGCACTGCACAGGGCGGACATACTTTTTTAGAGTTGAAGGGAAAGCGTGGGCTCCTTGAAGGCAGGGGTGGTACGATCCATGTTCCTGTTTGAAGTCCACCGTGGTTCTGCACAGGATTCGAAAGGAATCAGCCTTCTGCATGTTTTGATGGTTCTCATCAAAGGATTTAAAGGAGTCCCTTCAGCAGCCAGATGTAAGCTGGAAGGAAAACAATGAGTGACTTTTATATGGAGACCAATAAGGATAATCAGAGGGGCAAATGATCCATGAACTCCAGGATAGGGGGTGTTTGAGCAGGCTACGTTTGTGGGTTTAGAACCAGGTGACACAGTGAAGCTAATCTCATAGGAGGTATTGGAAGAGTAAAACAGCCATTTCTATTAGCTCTTACTCATCCCTTAAGCTATTTTGGTATTATTTCAGCTTCTTCCAAGAATTGGTAGTTGGAAAACAAGTAAGCCTCCCAAGGTGATGGGGATAGAGTGGGCTTTTTAACCATATAGTTTTCTTTCTTTCACATGGGCCTCTCCGGGAGTGTCCCTGAAGGCCTTACGTCCATGTGCAGAGAGGGCCCTGGGTGAACTCAGCTTGGCCTGCATTTATCTCCAGGAAGGGGTGCTGTGCCTGAGAGGAAGGCGATTAGCAACCTGATTCAAATCAAGGTGGTTTTCATTGCAACAACTTGACCAGTAACCCAGGGGCTGGGGCAGAGGGAGGGAAGGGAAGTGCAAGAGTTTGCTTGTGCTGAGTGTCCAGGGCTTGGAAGTTTGAAGAGAGTAGCATGTGGTCCTCTGAGAGGATTGGAGATGGCACGTATACCAAAGGTATACATTTGAGAGTATGGTTTTAGAATACTTCTGGAAAAGCAGCAGGAGAAACTAGGCTTTCGGGTAGAATCAACGAACAGGATGTTTTGGAGTTTTCATCCAAAAGAAATTGCATATAGTTGAAAAATATTCAACTAATTCTTAGTGAGCCGATAGTTGTGCCAGAAGCTGCCAGGCATTGTGGGTTATGGTGGAAAAAGCCAAAACGGGTGGAGAGCTTGTTATTGGCGCGGTATGATTCACCTTCCCGCCAAGTGAGAAGCTCTCTTCTGAGGATGTTCTGAAGTCCTTGAAGAAAGAGGGAGAAACGCACAGAGTATTACTTAGTGTAAGAACAAAACAGAACAACAGGGGAGATCCTGCCTGCTGTAGATCACTTTTGGTGTCAAACTGAAACTTCAGAGAGTGGTTTTCTGTGTCAGGTTTGGTATAAAACCATCTGCATCCTCTTATCTATTGACCAGTATCTTTCATGGTGTTGGTTCCTGTTCTTTCTTCCTTCTGTGAATTTATTTGTTCAAAAATTTGGAAGTTCATGAAACATAGTCCCTGGCCTCCAGGCGTTTCCACTTCATTTTCTTGGCCCGAGTATCCCTCAGCATCTGCTTTCTTCTTTCTGATCCTTGATCTCTCCTGAAGACCCCCTCCCCGTGGGAATTGTTGAGGTTGCAGGGAGTGTGTGTTGTTTGATTCTGTCCCAAAGCAGGAGGCATCTAGTATAGAAAAGAGAGCATTTGTTTAGTTCCAGCTCTGCTGTATACTCCTTTCTTTCCCTCCCTTCTTCTCTCTCTCCCTCTTCCCTCTCCCTCCCTGCCTCTCTCTCTTTCTCTCTCTCTCTCTCCCTCCCTCCTTCCAGCAGAAGATATATACACACATATACATCTCCAGTCCTCAAATAGCACTCTAAGAGAGATAGATTGCGGTAGCCTCATTTCATGGAAGAGGGAACTGAGGCTCAGAGCAGTTAAGTAACCTGTCTACAGTGATAAGCTGGGTAGATGGTGGAGCAAGAATTTCAGTCTAGAACTTTCTGATGCCAAAGCCTGCTTTTTCCATGGTGCTCCGCGGCTTCTCCCAGAAGAGGAATGGCAGTTCTAGCACAGTGCCTTCTTTGTACATGTGGAAGGTGGGGTTCAGAAAACGTTCAGAGAATTGCCGTAATTAATGTGCTCACGGTGGACCAAGAGTTAGCATCCTGTGTCCTGCCTCTCTGCCTGGTACTGTTTTGGGTAATTCATGTGGCCGCAGGGAAAGTTGAGTTTACCGCTGTGAAAAGATGACCACACTTACCAGGGCACATCTCAGTGCTTCCATTTAGCAGCTCTGTGACTTTGGGCAATTTTTTTTTTTCTCTCTACACCTCAGTTTCTTTATCTGTAAAATGGGACAGTATTCACATTTCAACCATGCTAGGATACGTACAGTTTGTCTCATCTTAACATTTCTGAAGATAAGTGTCTTATAATGTATGGGGTCTCACAGATGCAGTTGGCAATGATGTCCTTTTTTTGTATATAAAATAATGGTACATCTTACAGTAGTGGGGTCTTAGACGAACTATATACAGTAGCGTATTCTTTATAGGTAGTCGTGAGGATGGCATGAAGTCACTCGGCACATAGTGGGCACCCAGTATCAGTGGATGCTGTTGAATGACATGGCTCGGGATAACTGGTGGGTCACTCTGGGTAAAGCTGGGGAGCACCTCACAAGATTTGCCACTTGGAGCTTAGGCAATAATCCATGATCTGTGGGCCAGAGGAACGATTTCCAGTTTGCCTGGAACTCTGTCCTTTGGCTGACTCTTGTCCCCATGAGAAGCATTAACTTCAGGAGCTAACGAGCCGTGGACAGACAACTCCCTTTGTCCTGACTATTCATTAAGGTCTTTGTCAACTTTAAATCCCGAGTTAAAAATAAATATCGTTATAAGAAGATTGGAAACGTACGCTGATGGGAATGCTCTCACATGTGAATTTTAAAGCACCTCAAGGTTATATACGAGATTCTGTGTTTCCCCTTTCAAAACTCCTGATGTTTAATTGCTTTGGGTGAAGTGTCTGTGAGATTAATCAGAAGAAGGTTAGGCGGTTATGGTCATGAAAGTACAGAAGCCCTTGACTACCAGCGGGTGAGGTAGAGAGAGCACCAGAGTGGCCATCAGAAGGCCTGGTCCCAGTCCTGGGGGTTTTATTATGTGAGTTCTTGGGCTCATTTCACCATTCTGGGCCTCAAGGGTCTCTTCCACAATGAGGACTTGATTTCTCAGCTTCCTCCCCTGACCCCCTCCCACACAGTATCATAGATTATGCCAGTTTATGAACCAAGGATCTGAGAAATTAAATGGTTGAAAGGAACTTACTTCATTCAGGATTCCCCGAAATCTCACTTGGGTGTTTGTGGTAGTGCTTTGTAAAGCAGAAAACGATAATCAGGGGATAACAAATGAGTAAACTATCATTTATGGAGAATTGATGGAGAATTTCTATGTGCCAGGCACTGTCTCTACATCTACTAAACCTCACATCGCCCACTGTATAGTAGACACCACTATCGATCTTATTTAAGAGGAGAACACTGAGGTTCGGAGAAGTAAGTAACTTGCCTGAGCTCACACAGCAAGGCTGAGGGCTTAGGTTGCTCCCAGTGTGAGCCCTATGGTTGTTTCAAGTGGACCCTGCCTTGTCTGGGAATCCCCTCAGGCCATGTGCCTGGAAGTTTTCCAGTTTAAAAGTAGGGTTCCCCCTGCTTTATTTTTTAAGTTTATTTATTAATTTTGAGAGAGAGAGAGTGCAAGAGAGCGTGGGTGGGGAAGAGGAAGAGAGAGAGGGAGAGCGAGAAAATCGAGCCTACCTGGGGCTTGATCTCACAAACCATGAGATCATGACCTGACCCGAAATCAAGAGTCAGATGCTTAACTGACTGAGCCCCCCAGGCACCCCTAGATTTCCCCCTGCTTTGAGTCACACCTTCCTCCTCTTTTCTCCGGTACTCAACACCTGTTTAACTTTGAGTTCTCGGTCAGGACATCTACTGTGTACTGGGAGAACTTTGTTCAAGGTAAAGAATAACCCCTATGGGAGTTGTAGGTGACTTCAGTCCTTGAAAGGCAAAGTTTTTCTTTGGTGAAGAAGTCACAGCCTGGGTCACTGTGAGCATAAGCGGGACCCTTGAGAGTCGAATCCAGTAGCCTTTCCATGTGGA